TTTTCCCACACAAACTTTCTCCCTGCTTTATCTTCTGATCTGTGTCTGGAAGTTTATAAAGCTTTAAAGAGACAGAGAAGCAGAGTCTACAAATCATGTTTGATTTCTGTGGGGGTGAGTTTCTATGTAAATTTGTCACTTGGGTTCAGCTGCTTTACTCGCCCTCCTTCTCTCCTGTGTCATATGTTAGGAAGACACAAACTTTGAATTCCCAGCTGTCTAAGGATCTTTCTTTCCAAGACTAAGATTCCACTGGCAGCTGAGCCTGAGAAAAACCCCCTAAATTCTCCAGATTAGATGACTATATATATTTTTATAGAAATGTAATTGTGTATTTTAAAAAGTTTCCTGCAGCTTCACCACATGTATTTTCCCCCTTGTAGTTCAGATTTGATATGAACTTTTTTTTGTGTTCACTCTTTTTATGTTCTGTTTTTAAATTTGTAGTCAAAGCTTTGGTGTACTGTACAGGAGCAGTCTGCCTTTGTAATTACTGTATAAATGCTTTATAATAAAGTATATTACTTTTATTTTAACAAGTGAGCAGACACTTCCTTTTGTGTGTCTGCTGCCTAGGGCACCTTTTAAAAGACTGTTATGTGTTTAAAATGTACATATATAAATATATTTACCTGTTGCTGTACAGTTGTCATAGACTGGACTGAATTTATTTTTTGTGTGCTTTTTTATAAAATATTAATACACTAAAGGAAATCTTGCTGATGTGATTGTAATGTACTATGTAACTTATTTACTTAATATCCTCTATATATCTAAAATACCTTTTATTAAAAGAGGTTTAAAAAATAGTTTCCTAGCTGAGTTTTTTGATGGTATGAGGGAGTGTCTGGGGGGCTCAGGCTGGCTGTGGTGCCAAGGAAGCTGTTACAAGGTCTCCTAGCCAGGCTGCTCTCTCATGGTATTCGCCTGTGTTTTTCACAGCAACCCTCGAGGCTGTTTCTCAGTTTAAACCTCTCCCCCCAAGACACTTGCCTGCAATGTGTTTTAAGTCTTATATCCAAGAAAATAAGTGGCAGATGTGGCTCCATTACTTTTCAGAAGTGTTGATGGAGTGTGTGTTCCACTTGAAGCCGAGCACCCTCGCAGAAAGCCAAAACAACCTTGGTAGCGTGCTGGAGATCGATGGGGAATAGTTCTGGGTCTGCTGTGCTGTAAGTAAGGCCAGGGGGGTTCTTAAAGACCCTTGTCTGTTACCTGAATCTAAGGGGGGTTTTAAGCCTATTTTGTTACACAGCATTTATTTTTGTTCCCTCTGGCAGTAGCTGGATCTCTTGCTGTGGATTTTAAATATCCATATGTTTCCATCCATCCTCACAACACTTTCCTTACGTTTTGGTACTTAATTGTTTTTAGTTAACTAAGCTACATAGGTATTTCTCACACCTATGGGCATAACATCTTTAAAAGCTGCAAATGTTTTGCTGCACAAAGCAGATGGCAGGAACATGTACCAGTGCCTGACCAGCTTCCTGTGCGATCACAGCGAGAATCTAAGGCAGCACACCTCCTTTAATTTTTAGCTGTTATTTTTGGTTTATTTAATTTATGCTGACGGTTTCATTTCAGTGTTCTTAGCAAAGCTGGCAGGAGAAAGACTCGGCCCAAGACATGAAAATGCTCATTTTTTCAGCTCAGCGTAGAAGTCCTTGCTTTGGCTCAGTCCTGTGCCTGTGGCTGTTGATCAGCAATAGCGTTTGGAGAAGCAAGTGTTTTTTCCCTTGGTGTGCAGAAGAGAAAGGGAACACTGAGGCCTTCACTTGAGTTAACAGATCAGAACTTTAAGGCTTTAAATAAATGAGTTTGCCTTCCCATCAAAGCCAGCTGGCAAAAGTGCTAAAGTTTAGTACTTTGTACTAAAACCGTGAAGCCATGCAAACAAACTTTGGACAATCAAAAAAGTCCCAAGTTTTTGGCATTTTGGTTTCCATCTTTTTTAACTGGTTGATCTAAGCGCAAGCTTCTGTAAGTTATTTCAGTTACTGAAAGAGACCTTATAAAGCATTTTAGTGATCAGTAAGCTTTGAATTAGTGGTATTGTGAGGAATTCTGCAGCAGCTCCCTATATGTTTTTTAAATAGCATTACAACCATCACTGTCGGATGCTGCTCTTGTCATTATTGAGACAGGCTGTGGTGTAGAAAGTGTTTATGTCACAGTTTAGAAATTGCATTTCAGTGACATGGTCTACTGAAGGCTAAAGTTTCTATGAGAGAAGCCTTCCCTTATCGGTGTTTAATGGAACTGATAGTATATTGCTGTTAACAGACTTAAAATTCAAAGTGAATTAGTAATTTTGTACTGAAGAAAGAGTAGCTGTTTCTTTAACTTATTTGGATATTTTTTTCCTATATAGCAATAGTAGACTTTTCTCTTAGGACCTAAGAACAAATTCTGACAACCAGTGTCTTAAAAGATTGAAAAATATTTATGTATCAGATGACAACAATCACAATATATGAGCATTTTTAAAGTCTTAAGTTATTTTCTATTCTAAAATAGAGAGGCAATAAGGAACAGCATTTACATGCTATCACACTACAAATACATTGCTCCCTGAGCAGCTAGGAAAGTTTAATGAGAACAAAATTGAATTTCTGAACACTCTTCACAAGCTGAATTACTTCATTACACAACAGCCAAAGACGTTTGTATAAAATAAGGTTATATTATTTTTAAACCAAGTTTCACAGAATAACATTTATAAACATAGGCCTAAATAATTTAAACACGGCAAATTTAACAGTTTTTCATGCTACAAAATTATGTATACAAAAGATAGCCAAGGGGGATGTTAAAAGTACTCTCTTGCTTGAAGATTTTTCTAGAAGAGCCTACTTCTAGTGTAACCTGAGTCATCTGCTGGTTCTCAGGTCTCTTCTCTTATTTTTCCAGCAGTTCTCAATAATCACTGCATATATCAGCTCTTTGAAGACAGGGCACCGTGCCAACAAGCAAGCAAAAAACTTAGCTCTTTCCTACTACTAATTTAATTTTAGGGTATTTCTCTAAGGAATAAAGTGGATGCTACTCCTCCGTAAATTCACTGGGAAAAGCAGAATTCCACATGGCTTGCATGTTTTACATGGGTACTCTTTCCATCCATGAATAATAATGTGCTTACTACTTCCTTGGATGTGGTGTGCTAGGGAAGAACAAAGTGTACCAGTGAAAGCCAGGCCTTGGGGCATCTCCCTCGGACGTCCCTCCGGGCGCACAGCCCGAGTGTGGCTGTCAGCTTATACCATGACAATGTGTAGCACCAGAAATATGCAAACCATCTGTTCTAATTCTACCACCTCTGTATGTCTTCCACCACATCCAGTGCATAATTTTAAAGTGCAAATTTAAAAATTTAGGAAAACTTATTTATGAGGAGAAAAAGTTGGGGTGGGGGTTGATTTGTTCTTGAGAGCAATCATGACTCACTAGGCAAAGCAAGGTTAAGCTAAAGCTGTCACCCAGCTTCAAGATGAAGCATCCCCTGACAAACAAGAGCCACAGTTTATTCTTTTCTTACTGTATTGTCTTCTTGAGACTGACACACAGTTTTTATGAAAAGGGTTTTAAATTATATGCTAATTTATCACAGCATGAAGGATGAAAGGTGAGGGAAATCTTGTTTCTCATGTTGCTGTTATAATTGTGTTGGGACTGGATGCTCCATTCCTTCAATAATTTTTTCTTCTCTTTTGGTGGTGCTTACAAGGCAGCCCACCAAAAAAGAACTATAGAATTTGTGCTGTTAAATGTGTGGAAGGAGCCACTGACAGTGGCAGTACATCCAGCTCCACCACCATCTACAACAGTTCTTGAACTGATTCCCATAGGTGTAGCCTCTGGTGGTCACTTACAAGAGCCAGGACGTGCTTTTGCCCTCAGGGCTTGTCAATGGAGCTGTGTTTTATTTCAATTGTCACCATGTAGTCAGAACACTTAAGTTTCTGTTCTGCTCTCAGAATGTCCCAAAATAGCCAAAGTGTAGAGTATTTGCTGTATCTAACACGGCCTTCAGAAATGTACAGACTTAGACCATATATGGATATTAAAAGATCAACCAGCAGGATTTCTTGGCCTTGGCCTGTGTTCGTCACTCCCTTTCTCTCCTGTCACATCTCATGTGAGGAGCTAACCCAGCCACACACACCACACTTGCAGGTGTTGTTCTAGGAGAGACCAGGTACAGAGGTTCAACCACTTTTCTTTGTGGCCAAGCGCTAGGACAAGAGCATCACATGGTCTATTCTGAAAATATCTCCAGAGATGAATTTGGCATTTCTGTTTGTTGGAAGCATTCAGAAGGCAAGTTTAGTGTCACTCAAGCTCTGGCTTGCGGTACCCACCCTTTCCCACACTTCAATTACAGTTGTCAAGGGCACAGCCCCCCCCCAGCAAACAGGGTCAGTGGGGCACATGTGCCACAGGCTCTGTACTGCCAAAGCACATCCACTTTGCCAAGAGTGGTTGGCTCCAAGTGAACTGAGAGGCTTAGCTCCAGAAGACACCCATATGAAATGGCTGTTGGCTATAGGCACTCTCTCCCATGGTGCTTCTTGGTCAGTGGTGCCTTTACTAATGATAAAGCGAGAATGCTTCTAAAAGAAATAACATACCAGTATGAAGTTGTCTGCAACCTAAACCCAGTGAACTAGTTAACTACAAAACTAGTTTCTGGTCAAGACAACAGCTACCTGGAAATAGTTTGTGCTGACTGAAGAATGTCCACAGTTTTTGCTATTGTGCTCTTGACCTTCTTTTTAGTAACAGATCTAAATCAAACTCGAGCCTCATCAGCTATTGCCAATTTAAACTGGAATGCTTTAGAATTCCTCTAACAATCACAGGTTAAGTAGCAATATACTGAAACTAAACCGTGATTGTCTTGTAATCATCTACTTCATAGTGCACTTCTTCTCCTACAATTATACCTGGAGCTTGAGAACAGTACCCCTGTTGCCTGGGCCAATTCTACCTTTTTGTCTCTGACCATGACTTCCAAGATTTCTACTCCTGCCATACCTTCACAAACAAAGTAATTAAGAGTGGTGTTCTGGCTCCACTCCTTCTATGTCTGGGCTGGAACCAGCAGGTTCACTTGTCACCACTCGAATTTAAACAAAGATGGTACCACAAATTAGAAGAAAAGCTTGGTAAAAAAACCAAAAAGGAGCTGCAGAAAAATCTACTCAGATGACTCAATCTATTCTTCAAAGAGAAGAATTTAAATCACACTACTGGCATCCCACAGTGCAATCGTGCACGTCTTCACCACTGTTTAATACTTTTCACTAGAAATAGTCATATAAGAACTGGTTACCCTGCAATATAGCATATTTAGTACCTCTTCAATACTTTTTTCCCCTATGCCCACTTTCCATCTCATCTCACCTCACCTTCCCCACTGACTACATACACTTTCTCTCACTGCTTACACCTGTGCTTTTTCTTACACTTGTACTTTCATAAAAAAATAAGTATCCCCAAGGCAAACCTTTCTGTCCTCAAGCTGAGGTCTTCTGTTCACTGTTTGTTTCTCTGTTAGTACCAGCCTACTTCGTTATAGGAAGATTCCAGAGCTGAAAAGGATTATCTCCACCAGTGACCCAGTCCAAACCCAGGAACCAGCTGCAGGCTAATAGGCCACATAGTCCAATCCGAAGTAATTTCTTAGTTAGAGATGAAAAAAAAAGCTAGCAGATATTTTAGTCTCACTGAAACCATGCAAAAAATTCCCATTGCCTCTTAATAAATAAATAAATAAGATAAGTTATACACGGCCTCCTAAGCAATGCAGTTGAGTTCCAATGTGAGAAGCCCATTTCAAAACTTAAGGCCAGGAACAAACGATCATCAGATCAATACCTTTGTTGTGAGTATATCCACAACTACTGGGCCTGTTTGGCATAACAGTTCGGGGAATAAAAAGGCTAACTTGCATATTAAAAACATTGAGGGAGTCCCATGACAAAATCAAACACAACAAAGCTCGTAAGGTTCTCTAAACTACAACATTATCCTTTTGGCCTCAATGTTTCCAATTAAATGTTGGCCAGATGCACCTAACAAGATAAAATGGTTCTCTTATAACCCAAGAGTGAACAAGCACCACTAATCAGGAATTAAAAATAGCTATATATTAGTTTAGGTAAAGATCTCTTGCTAGCCAAACAGCAGATAAACTCAGCTCCACTGGTCTCTACAGAAAGTGTCATAAGCTTGACAAAATCAGTGTGACCAATTTTTGGTAACTAACTCTTTGGGTGAGAGACTGTGGAGATAAGCTGGTCTTTTAAAAATGGCCCAAAGATTTTCTTCAAATATTTTATATAAAAGTTATATGTGCCAAGCTATCTGGAGTCACTTAAATAATCAAATACCCAACAAGAAAGTGTCTTCAGTTTGCTCCTTCTTCTGCTCCTTCTTCTTCTTCTTCTTTAACAACTAGGGTACCTAAGAGAAAGAAAAAAAAAGAGAAAAAAATGTGCAAAGATTTATGAACAGATTATTCAGAGAAAGACAGAGTTAATGCTGATCTATCTGAAAGCTGTTGGAAAGAGTCAAGAGTTGTATTTCTTGCATGTTTCTAACCGACAAGAACTTCTGCATACCTGAACCGGTCCTAAATAGAAAAGCTTTCAAGTGATGAGCTCTTCTGTTGGATATTTTTCCAGCTTCTTGGGTAACAGGGAATAAAAAGGTACTAAAGCAGTATCTGCAAAGATCAGCCTCAAGTGATCTATGGGAGATACACCACATCAGTTCAACTGCTAACAAACCAACATCACCCCTCTCGTGGGGCCAATACTTTGTGCTGCTCTTTCCATGACATACGTGACCAAGTTTTAGTATGGCTAGTAAGTCTAACCTTATACTACTAAGGTCACCTTTTGCTTGTAAAAATATGTGCCCTGTTTCATCTTTTGAGGTTTCCTACTACAACAACAAATGGACTACTGCAGGCCATCCTTCCTAGCAGTGCAATTCTCTCATCAGGCTTCCACTTCCTAATAATTCTTTTTACTGCAGTTTTAGATAGAATCTGGTAATAGACTTCCCATCTATTGCTCCTTGTAATTAAGCTGTCTCCTCTCGTCAACATCCCTTCCCTGCTGCTATTCTCTTTGTTAGTGTTACCAGTCCTGCTCTCCTCTTCACTGCTTTTGTAAATGGGATAACAGTGAACAGCTAACATCTCCATTAACAGAAATGAACGTATTTAAAAATATATTTTAAAATTATCTAATTTTTAGTTACTAATCAGGACATGGTTTAGTATCTTTTCATATCAGTGTCTTAAATAGGAGAGGATAGCTCACAAATTACAGAATCACAGATTATGCTGATCTGGAAGGGACCCACAAAGATCATCAAGTCCAGCTCCTGGCCCTGCACAAGACTATTCCCAGAAGTCACACCATATGCCTGATAGATTTGTCCAAATGTTTCCTGAACTCTGTCAGGCTTGGTGCTGTGACCACTTCCCTGGGGAGCCTGTTCCAATGCCCAACCACCCTCTGCATGAAGAACCTTTTCCTAGTATCCAACCTAAACCTCCCCTGAGACAACTTCAGGCCCTTCCCTTGGGTTCTGTCACTGGTCACCACAGAGAAGAGATCAGAGAAGAGATCCTCAGATGGAGGAGGATATTCATGCATTTAGGAAACTTGCATGAAGTTTTGAAAATCCGCCCTTGCATCCAAAGAAAGCAGAGCATATCCCTGTCTACCTCCACTCCCTCACGTCACCTCTTTTGTTGGCAAAACTGTGCATCAAATTTGCTGGGAAAACTGTAATTCAACTTGGCAGATGAAAGCCTTGTTAAGTTATTTAATGCAAAATCTCTCAGTTCCCTACTAGTCATATGCTAAAATGACTTGGGTAACTACGGAGTAATTCCCAACTGTAGGCTGCAAGGCCACTTAGACTTAACACTCCAAAATCCACCAAACACTCTCAGAAGGTCCTGCAGTCACGACCCGAGTAACTACTTCTGAATAACTCCAAAGAGCGGAGAGAGGAATATTAATTTCATGAGCACACAGATGAATCTCTGAGGTTGTGATTCATTTCCCTGTGGTTGTCCTTATATTACGCTGTTAACTCCCACCAACTGCTTCATGCCCCAAACTCACCATCCAGCTTTTTCAACTTTGGTACACGTTTGGTTGCTTCTTCAATCCAGCTGTTCTTCTGATCAGAGGAGGCATATTTCTCTTGTAGTGGATTGCCTACAAACACCAGATCCTCTAGCAATGGCAGCTCTGCCAGTCTCACAAACTCTGCTGCAACCACAAAGGTGAAAACACCAACCAGATTGTGAACATGGAAAGAACATCTGCACCACACATTCCTTTCAAACTTAAAAGAGCATGGGATACAATAGGAGAGGGACTGCTTGGACTCCAGCTGGTATCAGGTTAAAGAACAAGTATGCATTTTAAAAGAGATCCAAGAAGATGATTCAAAGCACAAACTTAATTGGACTTAGAAGTCAAATTCAACATTCTAACTATTTTTACTCTCTTGCATGAGTGGATATTTAGGGATTCTGCACATGTCTGCAGCCTTGTCAGTTGGACTCAAAACCTTGTAAGATACAGCAATATTTTTACTTGGTAACTTAAGTCATGCATTCATCCTACTACAGGAGAAATGATAGAGTAGAGATGCAAGGCTTACCCCAGTCTTTCACCAAATTATTTGACATATAAAGAACCTTCAGCTTCTTCATTACATTGATACCCCTCAGTTTCTCAATTAAGTTGTATGAGATCCACAGCTCCTCTAAAGTATCAGCAACTGCCTCCTGGAAAAGGACAGGACTATTCAGGTAAGCAGAAGTACATCTCCCTTATTCTTCAGATACTTTCTTCACCCCATATAGGACACCTCATGTGAGAAAAAATACTAAGGTATATTGGTCCTCATTTCATTTTAAGCAGGTCCCTAATTATGCATGACAAATGATCATGGGAATTAAAAGCAAAATTATATATGCAAATATATGTAAGGAGGACAGAAATCGCAATATTAGAATAAAACAAGAAGTAGCTGGCTGGAGTAGTTGTTCTCAAGGTATAGGGGCAAAGCATACATGAAGTGAATGTAATTCAAAAACTGCTTTAGAAGGGATGTTATGGAATATAAGAAAGAATCATTCATTCAGATGCATGTATGTTTGTACCTGTTGGCCAGAGATTGCTTTCATAATTCTCTCAGTAGAGAGGGGGTTTTAAACCAGTCATTACACACTGACTGTGTATTTTACACTTAAGAGATATGGCATCTCTGAAGGTGGAAATAGCTTTGAGGAGAAATATTCTGCAGAAGAAATAAACAGTATCTCTTGAGAAAGGAAATAATTTATCTATTCATTAAAAATGTGTTGACTGAAAAAAAGTTCTTCTGCCCTGAATTAGAATGTAACAAAATTGTTGATCCAATTTTTTCCTCAACCAGTTTTCCCCTACTTGGTATACTCAATCCTACCACCATCTTCGCTAAAGCCATACAGCTCCTGGTGCCAGACAGCATAAAAGGGACAGACTCTGAGGAAGTGTGTGTTCATAGGACTGCCAGTATTTGTAGTAAAGAGTAGCCTAAGTATCTTCAGGTAGAAAATTCTGCATGCAAAAAGTCTGTAGGAATTACATTCATGTAAAACCAGTGGAATTTAAACGGCTTTACAAATGGGCAGCAGTTTGCAAGTAAAAGTTCTGCTCGTCTTTATCAAAGATACCAAAATCTCTCTTTCTAAAATTCTTCTAAGTAGAAAAATTAGTGTAGCAGAATTTCCTAACATGAAGAGAATTTAAAAAAAAAGTGAAAGATTATCCGAAAATTCAGAAGCAATGTGTAACAAGAGGGTGAACAGATCATAGCTAAAGTAGAAAATAAAATTTTATTAAATTCAGCAAAGACTTGTATGAACACAGGGAAATTACCCCACATTCTAGACAGTATTACATTTTGTTAGTGAAGAATTGATACTAAGAAGCACATACCAATCCACTCAAGTTCTTTATATTATTTCTCCCCAAAGACAGAATCCTCAAATTTTCTGTAACAGATTAAAAAAAAAATTCTTTTAATAAACAGGGATTTTTTTAAAATAAGAAGATGCTAGAAGTCAGGTAAAACGTCATATTCTACTTACAAACTGCCCTCTGAACAGGCTGTCTTAAGAAAGAGTGACCTTACAGAAACAAGACCTCCTGACTACTCAGATCAGCAGGAATGGATACAGGAGACAACTCATAAATATGCTCATGAATAAAAAGCTGCTCATGTGTAGGTTACCTAGTTGAAATTCCATCCAGATAAATACTGAATAAAGATTATTATTTCACCTAACTCTAACTTCTGACTTGCTTGTTTTGATCTTACATAATTCATATCCCTTCTCCTCCAGGCAAAAGTTCTGATCTTATTTTAAGGCAGTAGATTTGATTTCTGTACCAGAAGCAGAATACAAAGCTGCCTTACAGATGTCTGATGAGAGGCATTACAACTTTGTCTAGCAGGCAGACATGCAGGGATGGAGCCACACCTGATGAAACCATACCTACTAAAACCACACCTGGCAAATATTCTATAACAGGACGATCAGTTTTCACTAAAAAGTTGAGGTACGATGAAAATTCTTTTTCTTTTGAGGCACCACAACTTAATACACGACCATGCTCAAAAAACAAAGAATCATAACCAGTAAGTCTAAAATTTCATGTTTAAACTAAGTCTAAAGTATTTTATGCCTACTATAACTCGCATTTATAAATTATGGATTTGCCCCAGCTTTTGAAATCTGATGACAGATTGCATAAAAAGCCATGTCTTAAAATTGTTTCCAACTGCTGTTACTGTTTTTTATCACTCTTGTTCTGAGACATTATCTATTTTAAGGGAATAAAAACCTCTCTCGTGGAATATTTACACTCTCTAAAACACAAAACTAACACTTGTTGATGTCATCTAAAACCTCGTGTACAGATACAGGGGTGCGATCATTTACACAGAATTATCTGCTTGACATAACTACCTTATCAGGTATATACATTATAATCATATTTTCCATCTTAAAACAGTGTAAATCCTTAAAGAGGTTTCTCACCTTCCTCTTTCAAATAAGCAAAAGTAAGTATGTAATAATTAGCACCCTGTTTATAGCTATAATTACTGCTATCCCTCTCACAGAAGCCAACAGACAGTGAGTTCCTCATTTGCTATACCTTTAAGAGACAGAAGCTTTAGAAGTTTTAGGATCAAGTATTTCGTACAGATTGGATGCTTTGAATCCACTTTTTATAAATATAAATATTTAAGATGCTTTAAAAGCTTTTAATGTTTTATCCCACTTAAAAATTTCATTAGTTTCACTTCTATGTATAACTGGCTAATTATTTTCCATCATGATAGAGTTACTCAAATTGAAGCATTACAGTATAGTTATTTGGAAAGACCATTGGAATATTTTTTCCCTAATTAGAAGTTGCAAATTTTTTGAAGCCTGAGCATATTATGAAAAGAATTAAGTTCATGAAGCTCTTTGAGAGACCTATCGGTGTGTAGTTGGAGAGGGCAAGATTCCAGGTTCCTTGTCTGTCCGCTGGCATTTTAATGGGAACAGAGAAGCCTGGAAGCTCCACCCCAAAACCTGCAGCTCTTTGCCAGCCTCATGCCACAGAGTCAAAGTCCTGAGGACAGACCATTAAGACTTCTGTCCCAAAGTCAGTAGCCCACTGAGTTTGATAGACAGCTGTCCAAGAAAGAAAAGTTCTACTTCTAGACAGGTGGCACATCCATTTATAAAGCATGAACAAAATGAAACCAAGTATATCCAATCCTCTGCAAAGTGGAATGACATTTTTTCCATCCAGGTCTACAACACTCCAACTTTGCTTCAAGCAATAAGGCAATTGTGGAGTTGTTGAACTGCAGACTATATCCATGATGAGTGTGGAAAACGGTCATTACATCACTCTAGAACTGATGAGGTATTCAGTAGCACAGCGAGGCCCACTGGAGGGTACTGAAGTGCTTATTGAAGGGGATTTTTTTGTTTTTTTCTGTTAAATTTGCACTGTGAGACAACTGTCAAGGCTAGTGCAGGGGTACCTGTTTCGATACCCCATTAGTGCTAAGCATGCATTCTCCAGTAAGACTGATAATTCTAACAGTCACTTGTAATGTTCTACGAGGAAGGAATAAAAAAGGATAAGAATAGGTCTAAATAAAGCTGGATACATATAACAAAAGACAGTATATATCCTAACAAACAACTAGAAAACAAACATAATGGCAGGCTGGCTTGTCACTTACTTAGGTTGCTCAAGTTGGCGATTCTGTCAATGCAGTTGGTAGACAGCGATAGTTTCCTTTAAAAGCAAGAATAATCAATTCACAGTATATATGGGATCACTGTATTGGAAGAATTCCACATCTAAACACCACTGCATTAGAAATAATTGTCTATTGTTCTCTCATTAGATGGTGAACTGACAGTATGTGTTAACAGACTCAAAATGTCCTCAAACCATCAAGGCTTCTTGAACTTTATTTAGCTTGCGAGAAAGTACCATGAGGTACCTATATGACATACTGGATTACCTTTTGATGCCTGGTCTTATCAAATGCATAGATGTTTATTTCTAAAATGGCTCTAATCTCTTTCTGAAAGTCCTGCTTAAATTCCTGCTTTTTTTTTTTTTTTTTTTTTTTTTTCATAAATTTTGGAGTGGATCATAAATGTGCCAGTTAGTTGACAGACTCCAAACACAGACCTGTATATGATACATATCATTCTTCTGGGGAAAAATACTAATACATAATCTACCCTAACATTTTCTGAGTTAAGTCGCGGGGATCTCTAACTTAAAAAGAGCAACTGTGTGTGGAAAGAGAGGCTCAGCTGAGGGAAAAAAAAAAAAAAAGAGAAAGCTGCTGCTTTGAAGGCTACACTTAAACATAGTAAATACATATTTGCACAGTGGACAGCACAAAAACTAAAAAAAAGAATGAAGAGAATATGTTGTTTCTAATTTGTTTTTAATTGAACTTACTCGCAGTTAACAAGTGTGGAGAGAGATGCATCCATCTTCTCTACAGGAGGAACCTGACCGTACAGTTTCACCTCCTTTGCCTCTGAAGCCTTCTGGCCATTTTTTTCTTCCTAAAGAAAAGAGAAGGTGAGGAAGAGACTCACTGCTACATGCAATTAACAGGAATTACTATACTAAAAAATAACTACAAAAGCAATTACTATAGAAATAATTCCAATATACTACTAAAAGATATTACTGAAAAGAGAAAGCATTTTGAATCCTGTTTATCAAGATTCCTGATGGTGTAGCATAAAAAGGGAAGGCTAGCTTATTTTCAAAATAGGAAAAGAACTTATATATTACATATGCTTTTTTTTTAAAAGTTGTGTTTGTTAAACGAATTTAATTAAGGACTCCTGTGTTGTAAAGAATGGAAACTAAATGGAGGTTTAAAATTCAGAATTAAGGTATTTCCATGGAGACTAACATATAGGAAACAACAGCCCTGGCCAATCTGTAGCAGAAGCAGTTTTAAAAGCTCTGCTAGAAAAATCTCCTTCCCACTTCATCCAGAGACCTCAAAACTCACACCTAACTCACAACACAAACTGAACATGGGGGAGTGGGGTTTTTTTTGGGGGGAAACCTCAACAGGTTCATAGAATTAAGAATCTAAAAAAAAATTGTGATTAGCCATTAAAAAAAGAATGCAGGAAGATTTCACACTTTAGAGGATACCGCAAAAGATGAATTTCCCTTTTACAGCCTAGGCTGATAATTTTCTAAATAAAATACTTAGTAAAGTTCAAAGCCTTAGAAAAACGGCCAATAACTTCAGCATCTGGGTTTATTAAAAACATAGTCTATCAAATCTTTTAAAATTCTGAAGTGATGGCAATTATTGGCTAAACACTAGGAACAAGTATCTGTTTAGGGAGTAGCAGCAGTTTTGACAACTGCCTCCCTGACAGCACAAAGGGAGCATTTTGTCAATTCACTCAGTGTTCAGTGGGAGGACTGGAGGTCCATTAACAAAGGAGAAATCTCAGTGCTTTCAAAACAAGGGCTCTTGTTTTCTCTCTCATTTTAGGCAGCTACTGAAAAGAGAGATAGCTGAGTGTGGCCTGGTTTATATGGCTACTTTGTAATGAAATTAATCGTATCCCAGAAAACTTTAAGAATCCCACAGCAGAAGATCAGGTTTTAATAATGTTATTTTCCCTCTTATGAACCAAAAATACTTTAGGAAACTTAATTTAATAAAAAATTAGCATGTTGTCTTGCACAATTACTTATATTCTAGATTCTGTCCAAATTCAGTGTGATAATATTTTTACTCATAATTAGCGATTCAGCAAATAAGCACATCAGATGTTTTGCTAGAATATGGCTATATGTATATAAACCAAGTCACTGTATGAATGTGAAACTTCCGTTTTTTGTATCTATTTGCATTTATGCTCAGTTTCTAATCTATTGGTTCATACCATAAATAAAAATACATTTTTCCTTAAAAACATGAAAGGGAGAGAGCTTCCAACACAGACTCTGGCCAGCAGTGAGCACCTGCGGGAAGAAAATTCATCCTGATTGCCAAGTACTTCTGGAAGAAAGGTCAGCTGCACAACCACAATATGCCATAGAGAAACCACAGGTAGAACAGACACACTTTTTTAAGAACAGGTTATATGTTTGCTAAGTTAAAGCTGCTTTGATTTAAAGTTGCTTTGATTTACCTAATGTCAAGCTGGCTGTAGGGCATAGTAAAGCCTTATGCCAAAGGGAAGAGAAACATCCAGAATGCAACACAACACCAGATCCAATGGTACGAGTCACGTGGGACCCAGATTAGGAATAGTAAAAGGAAGACTTAGACCCACCCCCAATAACCTGAACAGAAAAGCAAATTCAGCACTTCATGCCTAACATTAATGGAAACTCACTGACACAGGCCTATTATCTTTAAGAGATGTGTGACAGAGAAGCAAATGGAAAATAAATCTTCGCTGGAAGACACAGAGCTGAGGTTGTGAAGGGCAGAAAGAGTGAGGGAGGAAGAGCAAATTTTTTTAACACTCAGTTCACACCTCTGGTAATGCTAATGTCCACAAGTTGTTGCATTCTAGCTCCTATTAGGAGAGCAGGAGTGAAGTCTGTGGGATATGTCAACATAACTGTGAACCCCCTGAAATACTCAAGGTACCAAACAATGCTAAAATTCAAAATGAAAATAATCTTCAATTCCAGCCTAGTACCTTGAGCTGATGATAGTACAGATCTTCTGGCTTTCAAGCGTACCTGCCCATGCTGTCTCACATCCAGATTTCTAGAGACCAAAATAGAGACCTTGCTCTAGCAGCTGGCCAGAAATAGTGGGGGAGTGCATGTACCCAGGATGGCACCTCTGTGCCCTAATCTATTCTCACTGGTTTTACTGGACTGTGAACCTGACCCCAGAGCATCCTACACCATCATTTGAAATTACATCCACACCCTTGCCAACACACAGTTTTCTAAAAGACCAGGTCAGTCACCACCAGACTAATGACCTTCTGTATTAACACATTACTTTAAGAAGAAAAACAAGCAAGAAACTCAGATTCTGAGTTAAGCTTTGCACAATGAGGGACAATATGCCAAAAGACATGTAGAAGTTTCACTGAATTCAGTACAGTAAGAATTTCATACTTCTTTATTCTGTGGGAAGCACTACTGTCAGGTAAAGTGAGAAGAGCATAATTAAAACATAAGACATCTCCAACTTTAAGTCCCTTTGTAGCTTCACGCCAATGCATATGCAGCAGAATGAGGCAGGAAAGCAAAACAGACTCATCTTTACCAATCATATCAATTTAACAAGAACATACAGAAAATCCAACAGAAGGTATTATACAACAGCAATCATCATTTTACTTTGTGAAACTTCTTAAAGCAAATGTTTCAAGCAAATGTATTTCCTACAATGTCTGAAAAACAAATTTAGGTGAATACAGTCAAACCCCATGCCACAGAGTACTGCAAAGACAGCTAGACACTGTTCTAGTACTTACCCATTTGGCTAGAGCTTCTTTGATAGTTGTTGCTTTGGCCTAAAAATGAAACAAATTTAAGTGAATATTCATTGCAAATTTATAACTGGCTTGTTCACTGCAAACCTATTTCCTCTCCCTTCTCTCTCCCTATCCTGCTTGTCTATCCCCTTCTACCACTTTCCTGTATTGTCTTGAGTCAGCTGAGATAAAGAAGCTGGAACCCCTTAGGGTCCCATAATTTTGTTTTCTGAGATACTTGGCAGCATTCTCAGAAGCAAAAGATGGGCTTAATGTCACAACATTATCTTCCTGATCTTACTCTCTGCCCCATGGGACACTGCTTGTTAGATCTGGTGGTGAAATTCCATTCAAAGGCATAAGAAGCCACTGCACTGAAAACTGTGGTCTAACGCTCTTAAACTCTCCCACTTTCTATTGTGCATTAGCAACTTCCTGTTTGACAGCAAGCCTGTAAGCAGACAGAATGATACAGCCTCTTCAGATTCACCGAGGAAAATGAGGTATATCTTGCCAAAACTAAAGAGCAATCTGGATTGTTTATATTTGGCGTTGTTTTCCAAGTGCTTTGCATAGAGTTGCATCATACGACGTGAACACGTATGTTTTGTGAAATATTATTGAGTTTGAACATATTATTCAGTTTGGAAAAATCTGAGAGCTGCTGCACAAGGCTTTTTAGGGACTGACCCACTGACCAACTTTCTGTTGACACTAACTCCAACTTTGCTGTCTCACATCAGAGTCTTGTAAAACCACATGAAGATATCCAAAACAGTAGTATAAAAACAACATGTTTAATGATTCTCTAAACACTAAACATATTCCAAGATGTCTTTTGGATTAAAAAGGTTTCAGAGACCAATCTTTCACAAACTGATCGACAGCCTCCTTTGTACAAATACAGGAGGACTCTAGTTTTGGCATCTCTGTTGCTCTTATGTGTAGCACTACACATGAGGATAAAAGTAGTCTTTCAGGTAACCAGATATACAAAAAACCCCTACTGTATAAGTTAAACCCAACAAACTAACTTCCACCCAAAATCTTACAGGCAACCACCTCAACCACAGAGCTCTAGTGTTGGGTACTTTGGCACTGGAAACACTGGTCCCAGGGCAAAAGACAACAGCTGAGGCAGCTGCATATAAAAAATGGCCATAGGCACTGAACACCCAGCAACTACCAAGACCCAGCAACACCAGGGAGCCTGAGCATGCACCTCAAACACCAATATACACCTCCACTTAGACGTGTATCACTGGGCATCCTCAGAAGTTCCAGCTGCTTCTGCCCATTGACGGGCATTTGTTTCAATCTGGTCTATACCAACTGATAGCTAGCTCATGGTTCCATTGGAGATGACCAGGCAAACTTGTGCCAGGCATCATCTCCTCAGTGTCTGCCACAGATAAACAGCTGCACGACCTCCTCCTGTTTAGAAGATCACATCCTTAAGTTCCCATTCCAACAGCCTCGTGCAATCCAACTAACAGCTACCAATGTGCCAGCAAAAACAGCTAGCTTCCAGTTAATGGGGTTTTCCAGACAGAACTTCATTGCTGTTTTTGTAATTATGGCAGTAAATCAGTACAGCACTTTAGTACGTGATCTTGGTCACTCGTGTTGAAGGCAGAAACGGATTTATATGACCAGTATCTGCTTCTAAGTCATGCCTAAAACTGGACTCGACTCTAAAGCTAGTGATCCATGTGAGCACAAGCAGCAGCTTCTTCCCTGACCTCTGCTGACTTATCTCTGCCGAGCTGCTGGAAACACGGACATCAGCACAGTGGGTTATTTGGAGAACACATGCCAGGGATTTCATTCTCTTTGAGGTGTACTTGAAATTTCTGTAGATAAATAAGAGTATCTTCTGCCAAGCAAGATTACCTAAAGGAAACTTTCCTCTAAGCAGTTAATTTTCAGGGTTCCTCTACCTGCATATTGAACAATTTTCTACAGGTATTTAGACTAAAGAAAGTCATAATACTTAAAATACTCAAAATACTCAAAATGCTAAGTGATCAACTGTCACCCTGAAGAGTCACCATCAACATGGCAGAAAAAAGAAACAAAATACCTTAAGGGGAAAAATAACCACACTTGTACTGTAATAGTTATAACAAGAAGTATTTCCCCTCCCTAAACATGGCAGATGGACACAGACTATTTACAAAATTTAGACCCCCAGGAAAAAGCAAAACAGCGACACTTCGCCTTAATTTGCAAGCATTTATTTATATGTTCAATAGAGGAAATCGGAATTGCACAGCAACCGATAACAAGCCAATCGCTGTAGTGACTGCAGACACTGCTGCCTTAAAGACGCTGAGGTTTGCGCACGATGACACCCCCGACTCCCCGCTTCTTTCGCCCATCCCGAAATACCCCTTTCCCGAGGCACAGCATCAGGCCACCCCGCCTCAGCCGCCGCCCCGAGCCCCGCGCTGCCCCCCAGGCAGCTCCCGTGGAGCCCGGGCTGCTCGGCGGGGCCCGGCGCGGAGGGCTCCGACACCGCCGGCCCGGGCACGGCTCGGCAGCGGCCCCGGGGGGACGCCGCTCACACACCGCCCGCGGCACCGGCCCCGCGCCGCCGGTGCCGCTCCGTCCCGCCCCCGCCGCAGGACCCACCATGGCGCCGTTGCTACCGCGAACGCTCCGGTTGCTACGGGCGCGGGAACGCCCCGGCCCGGAACTCGCGTCGAGGGCGGCGGCCGCGGCGCCTTGTGGGACGCGGCGGGGGCGGTGCGGGCCCGGCTGGGCAGCGCGGCAGCCCCGGGTGCTTTGGCACCCCGAGGGCGGCTGTGAGGCCTCCCGGAGGTGGCCGGTGCAGCTAATTCAGCCCCCTGAACACTAGTCCCAATGGAACGTGATGGGAGTTTTGCCTGGCAGGGAATTACTGTGTCCAGCACTGGGCTCCTCATTACAGGAAAGAAAAGAAGCTACTGGAGAAGGTCCAGAGGAGGGCCATAAAGATGATTACGTGTCTGGAGCATCTCTTTTATGAGGAGGGACTGCGGGACCTGAACCTGAATAGTCTAGAGAGGAGAAGACCGAGGGGGGAATCTCATCAATAGCATATAAGTATCTCAAAGGTGGGCGTCAAGAGAATGGTATCCAGCGACAATGGCCACAAACTGAAACACAAGAAGTTCCATCTCAACACGAGGAAGAACTTCTTAACATTGAGGGTGGCAGAGCACTGGCACAGGCTGCTTCTCTGAAAACATTCAAAACCCACCTGGACACATTCCTGTGTATCCTACTCTGGGTGACCCCTTCTTGGCAGGGGAGTTGGACTAGATGATGTCCAGAGGTCTCTTTCAACTCTAACAATTCTGTGATTCTGTGCATGTAAACCTGTATAAATAATGTGGCTCTAACTAAGGCCCCAGTCAGACACTCAGTTTAATGTACGCTTCAGGAAACAGCTGTTTTCTGCAGTGTCAGCAACGCGTCTTTGGTCCCCAGGTACAACTGTAAATACACAGTATGCTAGTGCAAAAGTTGGCTGTTTTTCTACAGGCCATTCTGTGAATTATTTTGTTGAGGAATACCCCGACCCATTCATTAAAGGATCTTCACAGTAAAATGATATTATTTTTATTTTTTCCTCCTTTTTAAACAAATTATCATTCAGTTTTCCAAACAAACGAACTATTCAGAAACAAAAATCTAACATCAAATTCTTACACAAGGTTGCTTTTCAATAAAGTGTTTTACTTCTCTCTTTCAAATTGCATATATCTGACAAAATCTAACACTGAATTATTTTAAAGGCTTGTCCTTTAGAAATTAAGTCTGAGGACTCTTAACCTACCTGGCTTTTATTTACAAATTAACATTTACTTCTTGATCCTTCAGACTGCAATCTTGCAGAGCAATGCATATGCTGAGGTAGGACTGCAGTGTGGAGACACAGGTATTGGCACTGGGAGAGTGACAAAACAGGGTTTGGGGAGGTGCTGCTCTTGCACAGCTCCGACTACTGAAGATGCACAGGACAAGGCAGACAGACAAACAGAAACCTTCAGACAACCCTCTCCTCTATGGTTGCCACTTGGAATGAGTCTGGAGAAAAGGCAGGGTACCAAGTATCAGTGACAGCAACAAGCACATCACAGCAGGCTCTGATCCTGGACTTCGGGGGCTGCTGGTGTTAATGGATGTTCAAGCACCAGGTATGACTTGGCAAAAGCCTCTTCAGCTGGTGAGGAAGTTTAGAGACTAGGTATGAAGACATCTTGTGTGGAGTTAGCAGGATGGAGCTTCTCTTGTAAAGAATCATGAAAGTGGATAAATTGTTCAGTTGGCACTGATTGCGTGTAAAGAACATGTGACTTTAATCAAATGATAAGGAGTAATAAGTTGCAGAAAGCTAGTAAGACCTGAGCAGCAGCATCATGACGGTTAACTGGAGGAAAGAAGATCCCTGAGAGCAAAACAAAACTGAGTACCATAAATAAAGGTTTTGTATCTTCCTGGGCAGCTCTCAAACTGGTCTGACAAAATGACTTTGGAAGGAGAAACTGCTTTGATAGAGGTCCTCATTAAACCTGGCACCATTTCAGCAAGACCCTCTGAAGAGATCAACTCATTTGGGAAGAAGCTGTTTCTTTCTACTTGAATGGTGGGGAATAATAAGGTACTAGCCAAAAATTAACTAGGATGAATAAAACCAGTCTCAGGCAGTGATGGAAAAGATATCCTAGATTTGGGTTTAGGTTTTTTTTGGAAGGCACTGTTAGTTTGGTCGGGGTTTTTTGTTTAGTTCTTTTTTTAAGAATTATGACTCTAAGTTAATTATTGCCATAAGGTGACAGCTTTTACAGTCAGTTTAAATCTTCTACAGGCAAGGTTTTCTGTCTCTCAACTCTGCTTCCTCCCTAAGAACAGCTGTCAGAATCTGTTGGCATCATTACTGAAAAGTTCCAAGGGTAATTAACTCTTACTTACTGGCTGCATTTAGCCATGCTCTAACCTATCTGACAGAATCCTAATACCCTGAGTGTCAAATGCCAATCCAAGACATTACAGCAACAAATAGTTACACCCCAATACAACACAGTGCTAATGCTGGCATTCTCCCTGGATGACAGGAAAAGTACTCTTCATTTTCTCATGCTACAGGTGGTTTTTCTTGGAAAGAAACAGCCTGTGTCACCAGAAGACCACTACTTAAGGTATACTAAGTATACAAGCCTCATTGCAAATAGCGGTCTCCAGCTTCCTGCAAATAGAAAATATTTCCAAGGTGTATATGGCTGTAAATCTGAGTTCCAGGCCAAGGTAACTGAGGACTCAAAGACAGAATCATTCATCATTCTGATGTCAAAGTTTATCATCCGTCATTCCCCAGGGATGATCCTGTCTGTCACTGCTGAGGGTGCAGGCTGGCTGTGAACATTCTCCAAGTCATAAATACTGCAAGCAAGCAAGTACCTACTACTCCCTTCGGATACTGTTTTCTTCATATCACGACCACTTTGGGCTGTCAAAAGCAGGCAGTGCAGCCTGCTTATTGTTTCACTTCTCCTTTGTATACCTAGTTAAAGTAACTTAGGCTGATCGAAATAAATCTCCTTTTTTTTTTGATTTATACTTGTAGCTAAGTAGTCATTTGGTTATTTCACATTTCAAGGTTTTTCTCAGTCGATCCCTCCAATTCACCAGTCATTTTGGTGGCTCAAGTTCAGTTCTTGCAGCTCTGCAACAGCTTGCGTGTGCGTAAATGTTCATCCCAAATGCAAGCGCAGAAACTCCTGAATCTTTCCCCAGGAGTGTTCCTGTGCATGGGCGTGTGCTTTGCTCTCTCCACCCCCCAGAACAGGTACCCCCAAAACACGATCCATAGCTACGTGACAAAATGGAGTAGAAGGAGGATCAATTCGGTGACCTGCTCCTGGATAACTCAAGAGTTCAAAGTTCTCCTTCCCATGCTGGCGTAGACGCCTGATTGCCAGGTCAGCATATAAGGAGCTCTTCCACATCCGATCATCTTCCCCTACCACTAAGAGAAAGTGTCCTTCTGCTTTTTCAATGGGGATCGTGCAAGGAGAATTAGCAGGATTGGTTGGGTCATCCAGAGCTTCAAAAACATCA